TTTCTGAAGTAGAATAAAATTCAATAGCATAAGAATTTCCATAGCACAGGTAGCCATTCTTCACACACCAACTCATTTCAGAGGCGTAGTTTCCCTAATTCGGGAAATGCCATTTATATAAATTTGCTTGAACACTGAGATAACCAATTGTATAAGGATGTACATTTACTAGCACAGAGCGGAGAAGTGATATTTCCATAAGAGCCCTGGAGGATTCACTTTAGGACACAGAGAAGCTGTTCTATCAGGCATTGTGGACTTGTTTGAGTGTCCAAGTTTTCCCCAAAGACAAAAACACCATTCTGGAATCACAAACACCAATTCACTGTCAACAATTCTAGTTTTAACATTTGAAATAACACTTTATACCACTATTTTCCACTATTGGTGATACTTCTGACATAAGCAAGCTTTGTTTAATACATGTTTTGGTTTGTTCTGCTGTTAATAACAAAATAACTCAGTCATAATGATTTAAGGGAATCAATGTTTATTCAGCTTGCAGTTAGAGTGTCCAAGATTCAAAATACAGGCTGGTGAGGGTGTTCTGGTTTTATAACTACATGAAGAGGCCAACAGAGTATGGTCTGTGCTCCTCGTGTCTCTCCTCTTATAATACTGGACACTATTAAGGGCCCTACCCTGATGACCTTAATCCTAATCAACCATATGTCCTACTCATTGACACAACAGTGTGATCCTGTCTTGCCCTCTTAATCCCATTACCATGACTAATGTATAGATTCGGTGAAAATTATATCAATATCAATATATAAAATTTATTCTTAGTGTTTCCATTAGAGTGGTCATGTCTGGGGAAAATAAAACATGATTTTACTAAGGCCCACCATCTTGATTCCCTTCTGGAGTCAATGAAATGAGTGGCTCAGCAGTAAGCGGCATGACTAGATTACGACAACTATTACAAGGAACTGTTTCTCTTTGCATACTCTCTGAATACAACTACAATTTTATTCTGGATCAATGTTTAATAAAAGTTTTCAAAGAGTAGAGAGGACTGCATTAAGAGGAGAAAGTGACAGAAAAAGTGAAAATGGGAATTTAGGTTGGATTAGAAAAAAAACAGAAAGAGGAGGAGACATAGGCAGAGAATAACAAAGAAGTATAGATTAGTATAAGAAAGAAGCAAAATAACAGGAACGGATGAAGTATCAGAGAGAATGAAGCTGAAATAATGAAAAAGTGAGCGGACTGGGCCAATTGTTTTTCTTAAACATGGTGTTTATAGAAGGTATCAAGTCAGGTAATTTTTACCTTTTTAATTCAAAATCAGAAGTTAATTTTTATTTAAAATTTACATATAAAGAAAAGCTTTATAGAAAATTCTTTTTTTTTTCAATTCTTTTTTGTAGTTATAGTAAAGTAGGGAGTTTATTGATGGAGAGGAAAGGAAAAACAGAACTCTCAAGAAGAAGCAAAGGGTCCTGAAAATTTATCACCTGTGTTGTTCATACATATACCTGTCTATATGGAACAGTTGGTCCAACTGCTGTGTAAGTAGCACACTGAATGGAATGCTGGAAGCCACTTGACCAACCAACTCAATATGAAACACTTCAGGTATGCATGTACTTGGACAAGATATTGATGAACTGGGGAAGATTGTGGCTTGAACAGGCCCTCTTGACAGTGTTTCTCTCTTGTCTGCCCATGTTCCAAAACTCTCTTGAGTAAAATTAAAGTTATATTTGTAATTAAAATGTTTAGAACTGACCTTTTCTAGAAATCCTACT